TTGACTCCCCAAGGGAGGCCTTACCCTCTCTGAGAAGTGGATGGGGGGTAGAGGGAAATGGGGGAGGGGAGCGGGAGGAGGGGAGGGAACTGTGGTTGGTATGTAAAATAAAAAAAGAAATGTGTGCCGGGCGGTGGTGGCGCACGCCTTTAATCCCAGCACTCGGGAGGTAGAGCCAGGCGGATCTCTGTGAGTTCGAGGCCAGCCTGGGCTACCAAGTGAGTCCCAGGAAAGGCGCAAAGCTACACAGAGAAACCCTGTCTCGAAAAACAAAACAAAAAAAAAAAAAAAAAAAAAAAAAAAAAAAAAAAAAGAAATGTGCAATGATACATCTCTGTGAAAATGTCATAACTGAACCGTGGTTTTGGGCAGTAAAATGTTAGCAGTAGTGATAGACAGGGCAGCTGTCAGAACATCTGCAGTGTGAGTGGCTCAGTGGGGTGACTTTCTCTCTCTCTTTTATTTATTCTTTGTGTCTTTCACATCATGCCTCCCGATCCCACCCATCTCCCACCCCACCCCAAAATAAAATAAAATTTAAGAGAAAAAGGGGGGGGAAGAAAGAAAGAAAGGAAGAAAGGAAGGAAGGAAGGAAGGAAGGAAGGAAGGAAGGAAGGAAGGAAGAAAGGGAAAATCTCGTGTGACACAGTAAACCCCTTTATCCATGCACTTTTGCATGCAGGCGTTTATTGGAAAGAATCATTGGTCTGGTTCGAGGCCCCTGGTCTCTGCTGCATTATCGGCACTGGGCCCTCACTGGACTCCTCCTGGGCATCCCACTGGGCCCTGTGTCTTGGAGATCCTGTAGCCTGGGTCCACAGGACTGCCCCCTGCCCCATGCTCCAGCAGATCTTAGATGAGGCAGATGTAGCCCTGGGTCCACAGGACTGCCCCCTCTCCTATGCTCCAGCAGATCTAGGATGGGGCAGATGCTGGGGTGGGCCAACAGAAAACCCTGGTTTTCTGGGTAGTTAGTTGCAGGGTTGATCAGCTCACCAGCTCTCCCTTGCCTTGGCCACTAGGGTGCGCTGTCCAGCATTGCCCCGGCTAGTTCACCCCTTGCAGTGATGAGCAAGGGGCAGGGACAGTTCTCCTGCTTTCACATCCTCAGGGTTGGTTCACCTACATCTACACCTTCAGGGGCAGCTCTACTGTGCTGCCCAGGTGAAGTGTAGGGGCCACTCTCCCAAGCGCTGCAGCTGAGGGGGACCAAGGACATCTTTCCCACCTGCCTCAGGCATTGATGGGGGGCATCTCTCCCCCACCCATGCCACAAGACTGATGAGTAATGGGGAAAGCTCTCCCATGGTCACAGTTTTGGGGCTGGCTCACCCACACCTCCACCAACAAGGTCAGCTCTACCTTGCTGCCCAGGTGAGGTACAGGGCCTGCTCTCCTGAGTGTTACAGCTGGTGGGCAGCAGGGACAGCTCTCCTGCTCTCATGACCTCAGGGCCAGCTATCTCATCTGCCTCAGGTGTTAATAGGTGGGATGGGGGGAGGGCATCTCTCCCTTGCCCAAGCTGCCACAAGGCAGATGAGTAATGGGGATAGCTCTCCCATGGCCACAACTTTGGGGCTGATTCACCCACACCTCCACCAACAGGGTTGGCTCTATTGTGCTGCCCAGGGGAGGTGCAGGGCCTGTTCTCCCAAGTGCTGCAGATGGTGAGGGGTTGGGCCAGGCCCTCCACCTGCTGAAGGTGGTGAGGAGTGAGGGGAGGAGGGAATCTTTCCCTCACCTATGCCACCCCATGGCATGCGAGAGGGATTATAACCTGCTCTCCCATTCCCATGCCCTCAGGGCCAGTTTGCCCATGCTCATGTGAACAGGGTCAGCTCTATTGTGCAGCCCAGGAGAGGCATAGGATCCTCTCCCCTGAGTGCAGCCGGTGAGGACCAGTTCTCCCTAGTGTTAGTCAGTGAGGGGCGGGGCCAACTCTGTACAGCCCTATCCTCTCTGCCTTTGGTGGTATCAGCAGCGTGGACATCAACAGAGATCGCAGCTGCATCAGAGCCTTAACCCAGCCATGGGCCCCAGCAGAAGCCCAGGCCCAGATGTCACCATAGCCCTGGGTGGCAGTGAAGCCACCCACCTCAGCCCGCTCCTCACATCTCTTTCACCTCTTCAGAAATGCCTCTGTCCACAGGACAGGAACCATTTTGTCTCTCTCTCTCCCTTATCACTCCATAGACTTGCCCACCATAGTAGTGTCTGTCTGCCTGTCACCACAAGGTGCCGCCAAGTGGGCCAGTGTTTTCTTCTTGGAGCCTGGGACAAACCTCCCCAGGCCTGAATGAGGGTCTCCTTGTCCCACTTAGACTGTCATGGCCCTGGGCTGGACCACGCTTCCTCATCACAAAGAGATCATAATAGTGTCCAATGATGCCAGGCAGGCTCCTGGTTGGTGTGAGGTGTTGCTGGAGACCTCTGAACCTGGGCTAGAAAGCCCGGGATGCACAATCCGTTGAGTTCTGTCGCCCCACCACAGGGCGTTGGGAAGGGGTGGGATGATTCTCTTTAGGGATCATTCTGGTTACAGGAGGGAGTAGAGGGACAAGAGAGGGCTGTAGGGGACCAGGAGGAAGTTGTCATCATTGTCCACTGGTGGGGTGAGAGGTGGTAGTGGACTCTGTAGAGTTTGAAGGTATTTTGGAGTAGTTTTGTTGGAGTTGAGGGGTGAGTGAAAGGGAGTGTCAGGTTTGTGGATGGAGAGTGGCATCATCTAGTGCAGTCAGAACACGTGCAAGGTAGAGGAAGGGAATGTTGAGTGGGTGTTGGGATGTCCAGCTGTGGTGCTCGGCAACCAGAAATGAAGGGTGAATGTGACATCTAGAGGACTCTGCACACCTGGTTCTTGAGGCCATCTGGAAGAGAGTGTAAGGGAGAAGGAGAGGAGACCCAGGGCTAACCAGGACAAACTCTAACTGGAGAAGAAAGCCAAGGGAAGCCAGCAGGTAGGTGTGGCCACCTCTTCCAGACTAGTTTGTCCATCTGTGTGGTAACTCCACAATAGCCCTACAGAGGGAGCCAGTGAGCAAGAGACGATGTTGGAATCTCTGGCTGTAAAAGGCAATTTTCACTCTTCCAGGGAATCGTAAGTTTCCTATATGGTGTCTGAGGAACATGAGGAACAGGTCATGTGTCCCTGCTCTGTCATAGCTCTACCCAGACCTCCCTAAACTCATGGCTTCATCATCAGTCCATGAGAGCAGCACAGCACTAGACTTCAGGGGATGGCTAGCTGATGAATCTGTATGCTGGATTCACAGAGCAATATAAAATAACAAACCATGTCCTTCCTTCCTCTGGGGATAGAGCCCAGGACCTCCCAAGTGCTAAGCAAGTACTCTGCCTCTGAGCTGCCTCTTCAGTCCCACATGCCCCTGTGGCTCAGGCCTTTCTTTCCTTCTCTGCACATACACGTTAATGAAGGTTTTCTACTACCCACAAATTCCTTTGGTCTCCTTCACTGCTTCTGGAATATCCTCAACTATCACTTCTTCTGGTTTTCCTCTGGCCCATTAAAACAGAATCCACAAGACATCTCCCTTTGTGTCCGTGACTTCTTTTTGTCTGTCTCTGGTGGATCATGGATAGTTTCTTCAGCTCTGTCTTCCAGTTCACATAGCTGTCATCTGTTGGGTCTAATATCCAGAGAATGAAGAGGGAAGACTGACTCCCCAGGCTGATAACGACACCAGGCATGGGCAGTAGCAGACAGGAAGATTGAAGCTAATTCCGCACGTGAACCTGATTCGAAGGTCCTAACCAACCAAGTCCAACACTGCAAAAATGAGTGACAGATCAGGGCCAAGCAGGGTTTGTTCTAGGGATGCAGGATGTTCAACATGCCTATGACCCCAGCACTCAGTGGAGTTCAAGGCCAGCATGGGCTACAGAGTAAAACCATTTTTTGATTTAAAAAAAAAAAAAAAAAAAAAAAAAGGAAAGGATGGAGGAAGGACGTGAAATAAAAAAAAAGACAAATTTGTTATGATATTAACTAGATGAAAATGAGAAGGGCAGCTGAGCCCTTTAGCAGATTAGGGGGGAAATAATTTGATAAAATTAAAATAAAAAATCCGAGGCCACCAAGATGGCTCAGGGGTTAAAGGCATTTGCCACCAAGTCTGACCTGAAACTGATATCCAGAACCCACACAGTGGAAAGACCCCAACAAAGTTGTCTTCTGACCTCCACATGTGCACCATGGTACACACACACACACACACACACACACACACACACACACACACACACACATTCAAATAAATAAATTAACAATTTAAAACCCATGCACAATTTTTAAAAATTTACTCACGCTGACAAATGGGAGTCCCTCCACCTGCTGAAGCATATCCAGAACCTATGTCACAAAGTCAGGGCCCAAAGTATGTGCTCATCATGATCTACGGTAAAACCTGTGACAGTTACGACAAGGAGAAAGCTAAATTTAGTGCTCACTGTGTCTACTAGCCTTGTCTTGGGGCCTGTTCATTAGGGTGTGAAAATGACCCCATGAGACTGACCTAGAGGGGGCCACTAACTGCTAGTCTGCACCAACATATGTACCCCTCACTAAGATAAGGACCAAGAGAGGGCTGGAGATGCCTAGGAGACTCTTACTGCCTGAAGCTCCAGTCCCCAGCTCCTCTGCTAACTTACATGACCATTCTCCTTTGGATCGCTGTAAAGTGGGTGGCTGAGGGAGGGTGGTTCTCAGGTGGCCATGGGCTGGATCTGCTGGGCAATCAGGAGCAGGTTCAGGGGAACCCTCTCCCTAGGAGTGCAGGCTCTTGTTTGCAGACTCTCAGTGGAAGATTCATGGAGCAGTGGAGCAGGAGTCTGAGTCAGGAGATCACTAAGCCTTCTGCCTTGTACTGGGGTCATCTCTTCGGCAAGGACATTGTTCTCATTGCTGCTGTTACTGATGCTATGGAATATGTTCTGTGGTTTTGAGACACTGACCCCGCCCCCTGCCCCTCTGATGTTTTCAGACCTACAACAGCCAGAGCGAGAGCAATGAAGACTATGAGATTCCTCCTATAACGCCTCCCAACCTCCCTGAGCCATCCCTCCTGCACCTGGGGGACCACGAAGCCGGCTACCACTCGCTCTGTCACGGCCTTGCGCCCAACGGTCTGCTCCCTGCCTACTCATACCAAGCTATGGATCTCCCAGCCATCATGGTGTCCAACATGCTGGCCCAGGATAGCCACCTGCTGTCTGGCCAGCTGCCGACGGTGAGTCCATCTCCCACGTGGGCCTCATGGCTCCAGCAAGGAGGGCTTGAGGGGAGCAAGTGGCAGGGCTGAACTGAGGAGCCCTGATCCTGTGCATGATCTGAGTTCCGCTGGTTGATTTGGGGGGACTCTGCAGAGTATGGGGGTGGCATGGAGGAAAATGTTATTTCTGCAGCTCTGTTTGTGGCAACTTGGGACTGATTTTTATTGGTTGTTGATAGTGTAACCTCAGTTTTATTTGTAGCAGATTTATTGAGATATATACATGCCATCAAGTCACACACACTGAGTGGGTAACTGTACAATCCATTTGAAAATGTTTTCATCCCCCTCACTGGAAGAGGCTTCAGTCTTGTTAGTAGTGTCAGTAGTCACCTTTAGGCACCACTCCCTTACGTTCCCTTATTTTGCTTTGTTTTGTTTTGAGACTCTCTATAGTCCTAGCTAGCTGGCAACTCACTACGTATCCCAGGCTGGCCCACTGGCTCTGTTTCCTGAGTCCTGGGATTGCAGGTGTGTACCACCACACCCACTTACCACAGGTTACCTTCTGCCTTGGTCTGTTTGCCTGCTGTGGGTGTTTCATATAACGAGCCAGGGAGGAGGGTTACCAAGGGTAGGTGAACCACAGCAGGCAGACAGAGGCAGGGAAGGATGCTTCAGGATACAGACAGCAAAGGGAAGGGTCGAGGGGCTAGTGAGCTGGTGGAGTCAGCAAGGGATTCCTTTTGCTATGGGGCTGGAGAGTGAGAACTTGCAGCCAGTGGAGATGAAAGAGCTCAGGGGAGCCCACAGCGTGAGGTCCTGAATCCCACGCTGAGCGGGGTTCTGTGTTTTCAACATGACGGCTTGTCTGAACTATCAAGTCCTACAGGAAGTCTGTAGAATAGGCACTTTAGGGGACTTCCAGCACCATTCTTAAACAACTTTGCTTCACGTTTCTCTTTCCTCCCATCGCTTCACAGTTAATATTAGAGTTATAACTCTTACAGTCATGTTTAGGGTAATGGTGACATAAGCAATAAAGACTGATGTAGCCGTGGATAGACAAAGGCTTCAGGGTGCTTCTTCACAGGAGCTGCGCTGGTGGGTGTCGTTGTGGCCCCACCCCACCCCCCATTTCCACATAGCAGGCCTATGGCTACTGGCAGCTAACACACTTGTGGCAGAGTGACTGATTAAGTCTTCCGAGGAAAACCATGGCAGAGCACTGCCTGGCTGGACCAACCATGAATCCAAGATGAAGTAGCCCCGCCCCCAGGGTGTCTGACTGGGTCACAAGCACTCCTGAGGCTGAAGGACAGGGTGCAAAACTGACTTCCCTGTCAGAGTCACATGGTTTGGGCTGGGTAGCATTTGCTACCACAACAGCTGCTCAGAAACCGCAGTTCAGTTTGTAGCCCGATATAAGCAGAGGCAAGAAGATCGTGAGGTTCAAGGCCAGACTGAACTGCATAGTGAGACATTATAAATAATTAACTAATAAGTCAGTGGAAATGTATGTTCCGCTCTCCAGGTACCCCCCTCAACAAGGCAGTAGACCTGTTTCCTCTTCCAAGTGGTTGACCGGTTCAGACTTCACAGTCACATGACCTCAATCCCACCTTGGCAGGTCTGTTCTGACCATGCCATATTCTCAGCTCATTTCCTAACAAATCCTCAGTACACTGGGTGCCTTTGCTGGGGATTTCCCATAACATACGGCAAGGCAGAGCCAGGTGGCTGCCTTGGGGAGTCTAAGACAGGTGGACAGCCCAGCCTACGAGGAAAGTTCCAGGCTCGTGAGAGACCCTGTCAAAAAACCAAAGTGGGCGGTACCTGTGGTTGTCTCCTGGCCTTCACACATACATACTGTCACCAGTCTCCCAGTGCCCTTCCCAAGCTTCCTGATCACAACAGCTCTGATCATTACAAGGGCTGCTGTCAGCTGATCACAGACCACCCCTCGCTCCCCTGGGAAATAAACAGTGGCTTACACGAGCTCTATGCAAACCAGTCCTTTGCAGATTCCTTTACAACTGGTGCGTATCTAGGATGCTTCTCAAATTCACAGTTTTAGCTCTCCATTAGTCTAGAATTGCAGGAGCTCATTCAGTTTTATGTTCCCTCCTTACTTAATGAAAGATAAGCCTGACCCCTTGTTACCCAGTGCAGAGGCCCCCACCAAATGGGAAAGCCAGATTAAGAACGATGTGCTGGATGATTAGGAGTCCAGGGGCCTTGACGATGGAGCTTTGGAATTCATGGGAACAGCAAGGAGAAAGTGTGTGTGGGTGTGCAGTGCTTGCTGTGTGTGTGAAGCAGGGATTGTGGAAACACCTGCTGGGTGTCAAGCAGCATGCAGAGGGATTTGTAAACGCTTTCTCACACCAAGTTCCTCTCAACTGAGAGGGGCAGGGAGGTGATGTGGAGGGGCTGGAGGCTTCCTTTCCGTGGCTGCTCCAGCAAATGGCCACAAACCTGTGGCTCAAAAGAGGTAGAGATCCATCCATTCACAATCCCAAAGGTCCAAAATCAGTACCTCACGTTGAAATCAAGGTTCTGGGAAGCCATGCTTCCCCAGGATGCTCTGGGGTGTCCATCCTTACCTCTTCTAGCTTCTAGAGTGGTGGTTCTCAACCTTCTTAATGCTGCAACCCTTTAATACAGTTCCTCATGTTGTGGTGACCCCCCAGCCATAAAATTATTTCATTGCTACTTCATGACTGTAATTTTGCTACTGTTGTGAATTGTAATTTAAGTATCTGATATGCGACTGGGGTCATGACCCACAGGTTGAGAACCACTGTTCTAGATGCTTCCATGGCTTATGGCTGTGTCTCTCTCTGGTCTCTGGCTTCTTTTTTATTAGCGGTAGCCCCCTGCCCTTATCATAGGGACATTTGTGATGGACTTTAAGGCTAATCTAGAATAATCTCCCAATGTTGTGGTCCTGAGCTTGAATTGTGTCTGTAAAGACCACTTCCTCCTGTTACATTTACAGTTTCCAAGGATTATGGCTTAGTATCTTTTTTTTAAAGTGTGTGATGTGTGTGCATGCATGTGTCACGGCACACCTGTGAAGGCCAGAGGACTCTCCTTCCTCCATGTGGGTCCCAGGGATCAAACTCGAGTTGTCAGACTTAGCAGCAAGTGCCTTTACCCTCTGAGCCCTCTCGCCGGCCCGTGACTTGATACCTGTAGTGGAGTGTGGCATTTCCCCCCCCTGCCCTGCCAGGCTTACCTTCAGCTTGGACACCTTCTAGGTGCCAGTCATTGCTACAGGCTTTGTGATCTCTGAGACTCCTGATTTCTCCAGATGCAAACAGAGAGAAGATCAAGAGTCTGTGATATCGTTCAGATGTCATAATGTCCCCCAAAGCTGACATGAAAAACTCAAACCCCAGAGTGGTGACATTGTGAGGTGCTGTGGGCCTTTAAGAGGTGGAGCCTAGTGAAAGGCCCTTAGGGACAAAGGGGTCATAGTATCCCGGTCTCTTTTCTCTCTGGCTCCAGATGTGGCCCTTCACTCTTACGTTCCCAGCATGCTGTGCTACCCTCAACAAAGGCCCAAAGACATGTGTGCCCTCAATTGAGGCAAAATAATCCTCGGTTAACTGTGTGAGCAGACTCGGGGACGTTGTGACAGTGCCGTAAAGCCGACAGATGCAGCCTACTTCTTAAAAAATGCTGTAGATATACAGCTAGAGGGTGAGGGGTCTGTGTGCCTGGAAGAGACCTCTGACTGGGATAGAGGAGGCAATAGCTTCATATCTGGGGGCATTGGTCTTTGTGGGGTGGGAATATGATAAAAATAAACACAATTTCTACAGAGTCCAAAGACACCAGTGCCTCAGTGATCTCATCTGCCCAAGGGCTTCACTAGCTATACTGACTGGGGCTTGGCCAGTGTTGGTGGAGACTTGGCATAGCACCGGATAGCAGATGATTCTTGAAAACTGCCTTATCTCTCCTGTGAGAAGTGACAATAGATATGAGCAGGAGGCAGATGTGTATGCTATTTTTTGTGAGTGAAAATGCCACCTAGTTCTCAAGCCGAACCCCCAGAACTCACACCCTACCAAGTCCCTCCATTTACCTCCTAGTTAGACCAGGGGGTGAAGGATTGCACAGCCAGGCTCAGGGAGCACAGAGGATGCCTGGATGCCAGGTGTTGTCCCCACAGACCCAGATGCCACCGAGATGCCATCTCTGCAGGAGTAGGTGAGCTTTGATCTTTGGCGACCATTCCGTCAATGCCAAGGCCCCCATAGCTCTGACCCCAGAGGCCACCAATCCCTTCTGGTCCCCTGCTTGATTTCTAAGTCTCTCTTAGACTGCTCCTCTCCTGATGCTGCCGGTGAGGATTACATCCGATACTGGAACCAGACCCCCTTACAGAATTAAATACACTCACGGCTTTCTCCACAACGTCCGTGTCTTAACTGATTAAACATTCATTTCCAAGACAAAAAGAGTCAATTTGGTATGAAAGATATATTTTGTCGGTTTAATTTAAAGCACTGCACCTCCATCTGACCTCTATTTTCATAACTCAATAATTTTATCCTATGTTGATTGTTTCATTTTGAGAGAGATATTGTATTTATAAATCAGCCTCTAAAATGCTCAAAGAAACTTGGAGAGTGGAATTTATTGAGCTGCTTGTGGAGGCCAAGATCACTTCTGGAACCCTCTGGGAAACAGAGTTTAGAGTCGCTGAGTACTGGAAGGGAGGAGCATGCCAGGAAGGGGTGATGCTTGATCTTCTACCACAAGGGAAACCCTACCTTCAGGGAACCCGAGATTCCCCAAGGGGGAGAGGGAAGACTTGGGCAGGTGGAAGCAGAATCATAATGGCTTCTGGTGGTCAGGAACCTGGGATTCTGAGCGCTTTGGTCACTGGAATGGTATGGTCCCATCCCAGTCCTCAATGCAAGAGCAGGACATAGGTCACTCAAACATTCTCCTTCCGTCTTTGAGGTCTCTGTGTGTGTGTGCTTGGTTGTACGGAGGCCGAA